TCGAAGCTTCGGGGTTCGTTTCTGTGCTGATATAAAGGTCACAATGAATATGAGTTATTTTTTGCAGGGCGCTTTAACAATATATACGTTGGTCCAGCCAACTGTCCCGTCCACAGCTGCGTGAGTCATGCGCAGGACAAATTCGTATCCCAGATGCTGAGGGTCATCGAGCGCAAGAACACCCAAACACAGGAAGTTCTCTCGGGATGGTTCACGCCAGAGGAAATGAAGAACAAGCTTGGTTGGAGTGCGCAGCTTGGTGTTGCAATTGATTTATGGTCATGGCTGTGGTTTCATTCGAATGCATACCACCTGTGCATGCATGATTATACTGCCATGATTTTCAAACACATTGGCCATGCCTGCATGGCAGGGCCTACATTAAAGATGCCGTTGCCTATTGCAAAAAACATGGCTTGGTCAAGCGACTATGGTTGCACTTTATGTGAGACTTTATATGTTGCAATCTGCTGCAGTGTTGCTCAACCACAGGTGTGTTTCTCACATCTTTCAGGAAGGACAAGTACAGCGACAAGGTCTACAGGTACTTCGTGGAGTATGAAGACAAGGAGTCATCGGCAAAGTCAAGGACGGAAATGGAAAGGCACACAACACAGGGAGAGGCCGTGCGACATGTGTCAACACATGCACATGCAAGTGCTGCATGAGTGGACTGAGTTCTCAACAATGTTCAAACTCAAAGAAAAGAATGAAGTAACTCGAACATCTTTCGCTACACTTTTCATGCAGGCTAACTCCGAAGTTGAACTTGGTGCTCGCTTCCTCGAGCCTCCAGCGCCAGCGGAACCATCTGGTGAGGGCAATGGCAGCCTGCAGTCACCGCATGAAGGGGACGTTTGTCTTCAGCGCTGTTTGTTTGCTTGTTTGTCAATGCATTTATATATAGGGGGCTATACCTATTTATGTTGAGCCCCAGGACTTGGAAGTCGAGAAGAAGTTTGAAGAGGGCATGCTGACCAAAATGAGCAAGATTACGGATCTAATCTCCAAGCTGGATGGCTACACCCAGGGGGGATGATGCAGAGCGGGTTAGAAGGTGCAACCCTGAGAAATCAACAACAAGGATTGGTATCTGTATACGTATATGCACATGGGCATGCATGGTGGTCCCATTTCTACGAGTCCCTTTGTCCCAACCCATGTTGACACAGCTCAGGACCATCAAGGCCTTGGAGGCGAAGCTGGATGCATCGCAGGTGGCGTACGACGCCTTTGTTGAGGCCAAAACGCGTCTGGGGGATGTGGAGCGAACTAATGAGACCCCAGGTTGCATTGGGCCTGTTGCACTTGAAGGGTACATGGGATAGATTGCATGTGCTCACCAACCAGTGCATGCATGGAGTCTCATTCATTATTGGTATGAATGGTGAGCGCTTTGCTCAGGAACAGCGCTGATCTGAAAACAAAAATGCGAGATGCGATGAGCAAGAAACTCGACACAGACTATTTTTCTTTGGGTCAAAGATGTTCAAAGCCTATAGATATCTAGACCTCTCCCTTTCTTCTACTGATCCCAGATGTCTCAGTATCTAAGGGCTTCGGCGATGGCTTCGGTTGAGGCCCAAGCCAAGCATCTAGCCTGCGAACAGGTTTGTGAGCTTTCAAGCTGATCTGTGATATACCCTTTTGCTTTGCTCTCAAATATTAGCTTTCCATTCAGGGCTCTGGAGAAGAGTTTGAAGAAAAAGAAGAAGGAGTCTGCACCGCCATAAAGCTTGAGCTTGGATTTGTGCAGTGCAATGCACTGGAGTTTTGCTGGCCAGCCCTGAGCGACCACGTGTGAACAACAAGGTCCAACACACATAGTTAATACTATAACCGTATACAATCTTACATTTTGCTTTCCGAAGGGCTGATGAACATGGGAGATCAGTGTGTTATTTGACGCGCTGTTCACTTAATCACAACTTTGGCTCCCTGACTGCAAATCAATGGGAGTTGTGACATGGAACTATGTGCATAGATGAATGGTGAGAAAAGAGTCAGGTTTGCTTGTGTCCCTCGAGTGTTTTTTCCCGCCTCTGCCCGAGTGGAGGGCTGAAGCCATGCCAGGTGGAGAACCTGAACTGAATGGCTTCGCCCGCATGGTTGGCAATGGGGTTTGACCCTCAATGCGGGTGGCCGTGGGAACACTGGTCAAGTTTGAAGGTAAGTCTTGGGGCCCTCAAATGGGGTTGAAAGGATTGCCAAGTGTTGGCTGCGGGGAAGCCAAAAAAAACATTCATGTGATTTACTATGTTCAATTGCCTCTCCACTGACCCAAGTCCTGCCATGATCACTTCCTCTCAAGACTTCACCACTGGGTCAAGCTGGGCTGGAAGAGCGGCCAATCACAAGATTTAGCGGTGAATTAAGCCCCAGTGAACGCCCTCAATTTACTACAGCCCTCTCAAAAGTACAACATTAACCATGGGGAATCTTGCTACAAACAAAGGCTTTTCCCTTGACCGCTTAAGACCATGCAAAGACATTGTCAACAAATCCAGGATTGCCACATACGCCCCTCACGATCCCTCACGGTGGCGCACCAGGTCTTGCGTGGAAAAGACATACATGCAAATGTGCCATCTATATCTATAGTAGCGTGCAGTAAGGATCAACAAAAATAGATAGCTATATAGATCGGAAAGAGCTAGCACATCGCAATTTCTCAAGTTTCTTTGTTCACGCTACTTCCTCCGCATGCGCATGGCCCATGTGTGCAATCTTTAGCCAGCTTGCTGTGCTGAGGTGCCTTGCCGTGATGTGATACGACAAGCTCGTGTGACGCGGGTTCGTTCGAAGGGCTTGCAGGCTCTGGCAAAGGTGAAGCTCAAGAAGAGCGAAGAAGGAAGCCACAAAGTTTTCCAGCAGTTTGGGCAGTCGATGTCAGTCAAAATTTCGAAAATAGACCTGCCCACCAAGTCTGGAATGCCACACATCCTGTTCCGGGACTGGCTCAAAGAGCTCGTCGAAAACGATGACTTGGACCTGCTTGTGGGCACCAAGGACGTTGGTGAGATGGAACGACGCCTGTCCATCTTTTGGAGCAGATACGAGCAAGTTCATCCCGAGAACAAGATCTACAGCCGAGCAAGGGCAGGTGTGCTGCAGCTGAGTCGCTGCATCCCTGTCCTTTTCCATGGTGATGAAGGGCGTTCAGTGAAAAAGAAACAGTTGATGGTGCTGTCGAGCCATGGCTGCTTAGGCAAGGGAAGTAGACCTTCTTCGCACCTTGATGGGCTGTCTGGCACATCAGCGGATCCATTGAAGTTGAACATGCTTGGATCTACGATGAGAACACACTTTCCTTTGTGTGTGCTACCCATTCAGCTCTACTCCCAGTGCGAGGCAGCTTTCCACCAGATGCTGGAAGTGCAAGCGCGTGACTTCAAGAGTTTGTTCCTCGAAGGAGTTGCAATCCGCGACAAGCACTACTATGTGTGCTGCCTTGGGGTTAAAGGCGATGCGCCTTTTCTTGCGAAAGCTGGCAGGTTCAATCGCAGCTTTACTCGTCGCCCCACACGGGCGCAAAGCAAAAAGCCTTGCACTGGAATCTGCCATCAATGCTCCGCGGGAGATGAGTCAAGGATTCCTGCGATGCCTTTCGAAGAGTACGGTGTTGAACGTCCTTTTTGGTTGCAGTCTGAGGGCGAAGTTGCAGCTTACACCACACCATCAGCACTGTTGGCAATACCTTATGATGATGGTGATGGCTCAGCCATGTTCAAATGGGACCTGTTTCACAATGTTCACTTGGGCATTGGAAAGTACTATGCTAGCTCCGCCGTTTGCACGATCCTAGAACTGGTGCCACAGTCGTTGCAGCAGGCGTTTCAAACTCTGACGGAGGACTTCCGCACATACTGTTCTGAGCACCGTGAGTCACCATACCACAAGAGGCTCACCAGCAGCCTTTTTGGTGTGGAGGCCAGCTTTCAGGATTGCCCAGACGCAGGTTGGAGCAAAGGGGACTTTACAAGGCTCATTCTTTGTTGGTTCGAGGACTACTGTGCCCGAAACGTTGTTGGAAACACCCAAGATCCGCTATACCTGAAGTGCGTTTCCTGCAAGCATGGGCTTTTGCGAAGAAGGTTTTGTGTGTCTTCTTAAATTTGTTGTTCATATTTGTTGGCAGACAGGCCTTCTTTCTAAAGCGATTCGTGGCCCCAGCCCCAGCTGAGGTTGAGGCAACATCTTCGCTGAACAACTTTCTCCGTGGTCTTTATCACGAGGGCTTGTTCATCTCATCTGGGACAGCTGGGAGGCTGGCAAGGGAAGGTCTCTGCTTCTTGCGCCTTTACGCTGAACTCGCGATGCTGTCTTACCAGAGGTCGGCAAAACGATTTCCACTCGTCCCAAAAGGCCACTACATGCACCATCAGTGCCTGGACTTGCTAAGGCAGTCCCAGAAGTCTCAGTGGTGTGTGAGTCCTCTTCTGTTCGCCTGTCAGTGCCAGGAGGATTACGTGGGAAGGCCAAGCCGGTTGTCCAGACGGGTCAACCCAAGAACGACGTCTTTGCGTGTGTTACAGCGGTCATTTTTGGCCATGCGGGGTGCAGAGCAAGAAAGCTCAGCACCAAAGATAATTAGATGAATAGATCTGATCTAACTATGTTAGTCCAGGCCACCCCAGGGTAGCTGAGGCCGCCACTGGTCAGTCCAGTGCTTGGAGCCGTTGGAGCCGCGTCGGGTGTGGATGGGAAACGGCCGCAGATGAGTTGTGGAGGGCTTTTGGGAACCAAGATCTCCTCTATCCATGTAAAACCTGTCATGGGGCCATGATCCAAAAACCGGGTTTTCAAGCCACGACCCAACAAAAGCAGGTTGTAACATAAAACCTTCCTTTTTCATGGTTTTGAGGGCTCTTGGTACAGTGTACCAATAGTGTACTATCGTGCGGTTCAACGTCTTTGTTTGAGAGTTAGTTTCCACCCGTCACTGGATGTTCCATTTCTTCATGTGTTCTACCGTCTGACCACCCTCTGAGTTCCCGAACTCGCAATGCGAGAAGCAGCGTAGAGCCAATGCCATCGCGAGCGTAGTCACACAAGTGTGACATCTGCGCCGGGAGTGGGATCTCTCAAAAGTAGGTTGTTTCTACTTAGTCATACGTAGTCAATGTCAATCTAGTTTGGCAGTGCTTTTGCAATGCCCTGCACGAAGTTGAAGTGGCAATGCGGCAATGCTACCACAGTGAACATCGGTAATTATCCAGAATATTCATGAATATTCCACAATGCTGTGGCCCATTGTTCAAAACGATCAACGACGGACCTTCTTCCAAAGGAGAACAAGAACTGAAATCAAAGCTCACAGCAGGGGGAGGAAAGAGTGCCAAAGCTGTGAACCAAACACCAATTGGTACGACAAGCAATCTCAATGTGAATTGGACATGATATTTATATAAAGAAGGCCAGCTCGTGTAAGGAACCCTGTTCTACCTGTTCCCAACCACTTTAAAACTTTCTTGTGAACATTTGGGAGGCCAATCAATCATCCTCCAACAGGTTCATCGAGTCGAGTCTGTCAACATACCGTAGATACCTCCTCTGAACTACATGGTCACCGTGTACAGGTACTCCCCTTCTACTTGCTGTCCCGTTTGGATTCCGAAACACGGACACCAAACCTGAAAAACACCAGCAAAGGGGCACCATACAACAGTGCACGAGTTGCGTTTTTTCGTACTGTTGTAAATGTTGTCTCCCACGCACAGGTGTAAACTCAACCCTGCTTCGTTCTCGCCCAAGTCACTTGTCGGAGCAGCGTCCTCTTCTCCAGGATGCGTCGATCACCCGAGGGGCCTTGCAGGCCGACCAAGACCAGTGACCACTGCTTTCGGGAGAGAAACACTGGACCCATATGTCCGATAAAGAAACCACTGTTGCAGCAAACTTAAACCAACAGAATTTAGAAATTTAGAGCAAACCGGCTGATCGATTTCATTGCACACTGAAACCACAGGTGGTGCGTTCGCTCTTGCCACCAACTGCCACACGACTCTGCAGGAATGATCTCACTGACTCTCCGTGTACGACTCTGCCTGATGCAGAACAGCTAGGTGTGTACCTTCTTCATTGGGCAAGGATACTGTTGACGCACATTGGCCTACACATGCCTACACCATGACAGTAAAAACTGCTAGAAATATGGGCCACAAAAGGACACTCCTACAATAGGTGGTTCATGGCGGATCCGCGCATATCTGTGGAATCATACCAGTTAACACAAGATTCCCATATAGATAGCACAGTACAGTATGATGCATAAATGCATCGGATAACCTGGAATGAATCCATGAACCCCTGAATAAGCAACAACATAAGCAACTGGTGAATAAGAGGTTTCACTAGATTCATACCTGGAATTGTTTCGTACCGCTACTGAAGCTCGTCCGCCTGAGAACTGTTCTGCTAGGATCGCTGGCCTCATTTCGGCAGTTCCCGTGCAGACGAAAAGGCCCTTCCAGGACTCAAGACAGAACACTAGGTCACTAGGCTCACTAGGAATTTGTATCCGGTCTTGAATACCTTTTTTTGTTTTCCATCGACTGGGACATACAAACCAGGTCTAGGTGCGATCTCCCATTCTGCTCTGCGTTGGTGATTCAGTGATACTCTCGTCACTTTTTTCTTTCTGTGATACTGATACTCTTCTAAAGGATCCATGTGTGCCTCCCAAAAAGCACTGCTTTGTAGAAGAGACTTGCTTTCGGCATTTTAAAGATATTTCAACGTACATTGAAGGCGCGGTAAATCCGTCACGGCACAGTGTCTGAGTCTCAAAACAAGCGTGGAATGGCGTCCTCCCGCAGGAAGAAGGCAATCTTGGACCAATCAAAGTACTGGCAAGCGAAGACGAGGTTTCCACTCTCATGTGCAAAACCGCTGCAGAAGCACCCCATAGAGTAGGGTTGGTAATGTATATAAAATATTCCAAGCAAAACGAGATAACCCAACATAACAAGTGAGAAGACACAAAGAAAGTACAATGACATGTCCTACGTGTGGTGGTCCATCCGTTGTGTTCTCTACACTCAAAAAGCCAAAGGAATCAATGAACAGACTTTCAGAACGTTTTCGGGGGGGGGGGGGTACGCATTAGATGTTCAAATTTTCTATATGGATCGCACATGAGTATGATACTATGATTTTCCCCTGGAATGGTGCCACTGGTGGCGATTTTGCCGTCACCCAAGGGCAAACGAAGCGAATACTGCACGGAGAAGGCTGGATTTCCTTTAACTAAGCGGCCTCGTGGAGTGCATGTAGCGTCATGCAGTTGAAAGAAGTACAGTAGTATATAATCATAACATATCATAACATATCATAACATGTTGCAAGCCACAACTGGCGTGAACTGAAGCTTGGTTGGTCTTCAACAAGGCAGGCAGTACCTATATATTGGAAGACCAACCTGATTTGTTTGTCACATGAGTGGCACGTGTCAACCTAGCCACTTTGCACCAAAAAAAGCGCCCACGCTTTCTTTGTGGCAGGATTGGAGGTCTTATGAGAAACCAGCTAGTGAGCTAGATGAAAGGGACAATTCCTATTTGATAGAATACCTGTAAGTGTCTCAATCTCAATACTGATAGTGTCCCAAAGAAACATCGAATATCATCGAACGTTCACGGTTTGTTCTGCAACAAGAATCTTACTGATCCGTACCGCTGTTTCCAGAAAAGAAAAACTCCTTTCACCTCTCAGCATTCACCCCAACCTGCAGCCCCCCAACACGAAAAGTACCCCGCTCACTCTGTTCACTCGGCTCACGTCCTTGTGAAAAGGGGGCTGCAGTCGATTGGAGATGATCAACGGCACACAGCCATGCATGATCACCTCCACCAGTCGCCCAGTGTTCGGCGAATCACCGTCCGGACAAAGGCAAAGCCTGGGAACGGGGAGAAAAACAACGCCAGGAGACCAATGGACAACGGGTTGGAAACACACACACACCAAACGCACTCCAAGATCATGTTATCAACAATCAGGCAAGGTTGCGAATCATGGTGTTTTTGTCTATGGGCCAGGCTGAAAAAGAACACTCACAAACATGAGATCATAAAGGAATATAAGGAATATATGTTTTTTCATCACTCGCTGGTCCGATGTTTCGTGCTTCGTTCTCTTTGGACCTGAACATGAGACCAAACTTAAAAACAAAAAATCACTCAATAGGTTCCAAATCAGTTACGGGAAAAAAAAACAGAATGTGGCCATGAGATTCCAACAGCACAACAAGCCGACAAAGTAGCAATCAAGCTCTCTCAATTACCTCCTCACCTATGCAATACAAAGGCAAGTCTTGAAAGCAACAATTGCTAATCTGGTGCCTGAACAAGCAGCACTAAAAGTCAGATGTTCTAAACTAAATGGGAGTAGACAAGTTCTGCAGCATGCTCATTGAATCCATCGCAAATAGCCCCATATGTCTTTTTCACAGGTTTGGACCCTCTGCAAAAAGAACAGCCTTTCTCATGCAAGGTGTGCAACGCAGCACTGAACGGCCCTGAACGGCTTGTATTCATATTGTGATAACCTTGCCCACTTTCTAGAAGCTCGCTTCTTCAAAACAAATCATGTGCCACCATAGACAGAGAAGGCTCACACACTGTGCAAACAAACGGTAAATATGCCAGATGCGCAAACGGCGACACCAAATGGCAACATCAAAAAAGCACGACAAAAGGCTGGCATTGTCCTCAAGCATATACAATGATCAAAACCCTTGTATGTGAAGGCCTCTCTTGACTGAATCACAGCACCCATTTTTTTCTGCGTCCAAACTACAAAGTAGAGACGAAATCAAGGTGCTTCAACTAGACACGTCATTGATACCAAATCTATCTCGTTCCTTGTTCATTGAAAAGCCATGGGTTATTAGATTGCAATAAGCAAAAGCAAGAAGTTTGAATGAAGCAAACACCAGCATACCCCAACACACAGCCAGCTTCCCTGAATCTCTGATGTGTGTATTTCTTTTGTTGCAAGGTCTTGCATCACATTGAATACAGTCATATCAAATATCAGTCAAGAGTCGAGAGTATAAAACACTTAGCACCACCTTAAGGCCTCCCCTGGCGAACCTGATTCGATGTTGATACGGCAAAAACGTCAAAAACGTCATAAAATTACACCCTTCAAGCTGGATCCAAGGTGCTTCGATCTGTATGCCAACTCAGACCATTCTTGCTGCTTCAATCGGAAGTCCGAGGGGAAAATCAGCACCTTCTCCTGACCGTACTACTAGGAGCAAGTAGCTACTATCTGAACTATCTATAGGGGCTCCTGGCATCGCAAATAGGAACAAGGACGCTACGAACGGGGCTCCTTGCCGTACTACTAGGAGCGTTCGGACGCTACGAACGGGGCAGCGCTTTGGGTCGGTCCCCAATGGGTCATACCCGCCACACGGGTCTGCCTTGGACTGGGTCTGTCCGCTCCACGGCCGATGGGGGGGTTCAAAGCAGCTTCAGGTCCATGGATTGATGTCGACGTCTTTCCGAAGTCACTGTAATATATGCCTGCTTGATGTGAAGCCTTGATGTGAAGGCTAAATCTTGGAAGGATCCTCAAACCATTCAGTGGTAGATGGTCAAAACGTGGATGTTTTCGTGTTGAATAGAAGGGACCTTTTCGAAGCAGGTGCAAACCACATGACAGGCTGGGCACGACAAGTCCTGAGGTCAACTGTATGGTCAACTGTGCTGATTGTGAGGTATGTCTTCAGAGATCATGAAACGTTAAACTCATCACTGTCGCCATGTGGCCGAACCAGTTCCTCCAAAGATGCTCCAACAAAGAACCCAGAAAAGCGACATGTTCGGATTGATGCTCCCAGATCCAACAACAGTAGCTTCTTGCTACTAGTAGTAATGCCCTTGTTCCTAGTAGCTTCTTGTTCCAGGAGCTACTGGTAGCTTCTTGCTACTACTTCAGGGACAAGCTCCGAAAACCGCTTCGCTCTTCGCCCAGCCAACCCACGGGCGCGATTCCGCCTTGTTGTGGGATCTGGGGTCCTCGTTGGCTCAGCGCTTGGGCAAGTCCGCAAAATCAAAGCAAAAAAAACACAGTTGGGTTGGGCCACAAAGAGCACCAGTCCACTGCAAACACGCGTTAAAGCATGTTAAAGCAACTCACATGTGTCTTATTCTGGCAATGAGGCTCGGGCCTTTTGGAGTCTAAGACTGAACCAATCTTGCCAGTGCTTCTCTGGATCGCTAGGCATAGTGTCAGGGTTTAGCAGGGTAACCACGCACAATGAGTCGCCTCTTGCTGGGAGGTATAATTCGATACTATCATATTGCCTTTCCTACATACCTTTGCAGGATATATCAAGAAAACCAGCAATCCGAAGGACATCCGCCGCGGTGCAAAGAAGTTCATCTCCATCTCGAAGCGTCCATGGAAGGCCTTCGGTCGTCCATGCAACAGCGGATGCCAGTCGAGACCCACAACCCTCCAACAGGGCTTCGATGGACTTTCAAGTCTGTCAACAGCTTTGTCAGGATTTCTTTGGTTGGACAAATTTCAACCCCCAAGCTTTGCCATGCTTGTTGACGAACTCAACGATGTTTCCCCAATTAAGGCCAATCAAAGTCAACACCCCACCCTTAGGCCCCAGCAGAAACATGGATGTGTTTCAAAACCCAGGGAGCCAGGCCAAAAGAGACCAAGTAGATACCCACACATGCTGTGTCACATCTCAGATCTTTCCAACTTTGGGTGCGCCTTTGAAGAATTTTCTACTAGGTCTACTTATCTACGATCACAGTTTCTTTCTTTTAAACGACTCTAAGACTTCCAATGATCAACGGTTTCACCCCAGAAAGAAGAAAAGAACACCTTACTTCGAGTGATCCTCTTCTAACATCTAACAAACCCTCAACCTGACTGGTGGGACAAAATTGGACAACACACCTGGGGCCTCACTCAGGTGACCCCCTGACTTCAGGGGGCCATTTCGGCGTGGTTCGTTGTTCGCCTCGCGGATCTTCTTCCGGGAGCAGGAGTTCTCGGTGCCTCGGTGCGCCGTGGAGAAGACGGCGCGGCTCGTTGAACTCGGGTGTCCGGGGGGGACATGGTGGACCGGGGAGTGGGGAAAAGAGGGTATTCTTGTGGTAGGGGAATCTATCAATTTAAAAGAACACATGGAACATCATGGAACCATGTTTTGTCTCATGTTTCCCTATGTTTGTTTCTCACCGTTTCGGAGGTGCACCAGGAACCACTAGTTGGACTGGCTCAAAATCACAAAGAAGTCCACTGTGTTTGAGCTCTGGTTCTTGAAGAAATGGGTGGTATCCAGTCCAACAATAATATAGTACCTGTTTCAGCCTTGCACGCCGTCAACTTGGCCTGTAAATGGGTCATGCTCTCATTCTCCTCAATTCCTCCACAACATGTTCGACGGATTTGTCGCTTGTTTCTATCCATTTTGGATTTTGGGGTCACTCTGTAAGAAACTATACACCACCTTGCAGGCCTTGCATTTGATGCGCCAAGCTCCCTGCCGCTGTAGAAAACCAAAATGTCTCGCTGACGGTATGCTGTGGCCTGGGCGGTTTTATTTCAGGGTAACTACGTTTGACGTAACTAAAACTTTGCAAAGCTGACATCTACCTGGTTCACTTCTGCAAGTACATCCACCATGACTGCTGTGGGAATCCATTCTCGTTTCCAAGTCCATTTCTGTGCAACCCGCCACCCATATTCACCCATATTCACAAAGCATGCATAGACATTCACTCCCTACAGGTCCAAAAGACCCAGTAGAACCTGGCTTTTTACCATATTGAGTAATATCTTTCACTTGTAGGGACTGTCTGCAAAGAAGTCTTGGATCTGCATGCTTGAGGTCTGAGCTATGAGGATCGGAGAGGACATCTGCCGTCGTTTCAGATTTCAGTGGTTTCAGAGTATCAACGGCATAAGGGCCTCCAAGTTGGGTGGTTTATGTGGACCCCCATCTAGAAAACGGTAAGCCGTGTATAAACGGTAGGGGCAATTATGTTTAGACTGCTCTGGCCTAAGTATAAACGGCATAAGGGCCTCCATCTAAACAACATCTTAGGAGTTTGTGCCATCTGCTCTGAAACCACTGTAATATCTGACGAGGCAAACGCTTACACATCTTACACCAGCAAAACACCAACAAAGGAAATACGTTCACACTTGCCACCTCCGACCCCAAAGCACAGTTTACACCGTCGACCATTCTTCTCATGTGATGCTTGGCTCAATCAGTTGGTTGGTCCTCAGTTGCCGCAAAGGCTGTCCCACATCTTCGTAAGTGCCACACTCGTGGGGTCCATTCAAAAGCGACCACCCAAGGGAGAACCACATCCTCACAAGCCGATCGGTGTTCTCGAGAAACAATGATGACGACATATGACAACTGAAGGGAGACAGTCTGTTGGCAAAGATCGAACTCGCAGAACCTCCGAAACTAGTACCGGGGGCTCCCAGTTTGTACCTCAGAAAATGGGTGGCAAGGATACGGACCTGTCTTTCTCATGGGTACTTCATGTCGAAATTATAGGGTACTTAAGATGTTGGGTCCAGGTATAAAACACATGTCTTCCAGGGCAAATGACTCTCAAGCACTGTGCTAAATACCTCGAAGCTGTGACCGAATGGTGTATTAAATTATGTAGTAGCAAACCCGTTCAAGTATGGCCCCTGCCATTCGCGCTCACTTGAACATTTCTCTATCAAGTAGATGTTGCCAATTCGTCCATGTGCAATAGTGTGCCAGAAAGCACTACATTTCAAGCAATCAGCTAGCTGCACGCCACCGGTGAATGGATTTGGCTCCTGAGGTAGAGCGGCTGGAGGCTCCAGCATGCAATGCAGGCGACAGGAAGCACCTCGATGGAGGGCGTGACGGAGGCACTTCGTGGTGTGACGGAGGTGGGCCCAGGATCCTCCAAGCCTCAGGATCCTCCAAGCCTCTGGGAAACCAGTGATCGGGCGTCTACAATTCATCAATCCCAGTTTTGGAGTACAAATGACTGAGAACAGGAAGGATAGACACCATCGATCGTTCAGGCGATTCCCCGTGTGTTTTCCATCAACACTAATGAAATTCCTTGGTAATATGAAGTGAAGGACTTTGCGAGTTGTGCCATTCACGCTCCTCACATCTCCTCGCCATGTGAGTTGCTGCTTGCTTTTGTACATATAGACCCCCATATAGATAGAAAAGATTAGACACGTAGATCCTCACTAAAAGTGTATTGGAATGTATTGGAAACTGTTTCTATCTACAGTATTCGGGGATCACTTGAATAGTACATCCAGTATTTTTGCTGGAGTCCGGAGTCCATATGAACATTGTTGAACATTCATGAATCTGCTTCGATGCCTCACTTGGCTCAGTGGCGTGGTCATCCAAGCTTATCGAATGGCAAACATATCATTCTAGGAAGGTCATGAGTCATGTCCAAGAGGATGTGTTGGGATCATGAAATCACATGAGATCACATGAGATAATCCCGAGGACCTCATGAGGCGATGTTCTGCACATCTTACTTAATTCCACATCTTCAACAAAGGTATCAACCTGACACCCAGCGCGTCTCATGAAAGAAATCAACTATGGATTCTGACCAAGGTGCGACAGGTATTGTCAATTGTTTCTGGGACTGACTCAGATCCTGTGACATCGCACAACGACGAAAGTGGACATACCATCCAAGAATGTGGGCCGATTCGTCAAGACCTGTGGTTGGCTGCATCATTTCTGCATATAATATGTCTACATACGTAGATTGATATAATTAGATATAGTAAATACACACAAAACATGGTTCTATCTTTGTTGGCAGCCGGCATCCAAGTTGTTCTGATGATGCCTTGAAACATGCTGCTGTCGATGATCCAGCATTCGATCCGTTATTAGATACCGTCCCACCATCCATTCCGACCTTGTGCAGCATGTCAGCATGCCATTACGAGTACCTTCTTTCACCCTAGTCCCAAACGTAGACCGGGCAGCGAAACACTGCCCATGGTCAAAGAAACTCATCCAACACGGGCGGTGCTCTGCTACCAATCAATGTGGATGTGAATGTGTCTCAATTTGGGGAATCCAACTCCAATCAATGCTTGAGTTTGGACACTCAGTACCAATTACTTGGCAGTCGGGCGTGTCCGCAGCAACATGCTGCTTGGTGGGTCCCGATGCTGCTTGCTCCGTGGGCAACCCTCCTCTGGAAATCCAAAGAAGTCCCTCACTGCCTGGGTTCATACCTTCAGGTGGCTTGGGTGTTGAGCTTTTCACCCGGTCCAAACAGGTCCTGCAAGGAAATACTCATCGGGCTGCCCACGTAGCCAAGCTGACATCCTGAAGAGTCGGTCCGTCCAAACCCACTCCGTCCACACCGGGGCCATGCGGACACTGACCGGACCTGGAGGTGAAGAACATGGGGTATGAGCCCAAGAACCCAAGAGGTATGAGCCTGTGCTCATTTCCGAAGTACATATTATTAAGTGAGACCCTTTCCGAAAACAACAAAGAAAAGAAACGAGCAAAGGAATCTTGATCCTTCCCCCATAAAAATGAAGCATCGGCAACATTCCCGACATGCTTAACGTGTTGTTGTTGAATTGTTATATTGGACGGCTAATGACCCGTGTGGACCACATGCGTGCGTGACACTTAGAGATTGTCTCGTCTGATTGTCTCGGTCCCTGCGTGCGTGATGAAGACCGCTTTGTCCCCAAAGACCTTTGCGAAGTGTCGCCAAACCTGAAGCTCGGCACAGGCATCCGGCGATTGCAATCGATACTCATGGCTGTTCAATTAAACATATAGTCGCAAATAAGAACACAATCCAAAGGTTTCTGGAAACTGGGCTGGAACATCTGGAAAGCACAGGAAGATCAGCATGAAGACGTATTTTCAGACCAGTCTCGACCCGTTGACCCGGGAAGACCACACGCCCGTTGACTCACCGATTTCCACCGATCGACCATGGGAACCCCACGTGACGGCCATAGATGCTGCCGACCAGGAACTTGCAAGAGGACCGTCGCCTCGTGTTGGGTCCACGTTCGTCTCGCCCAGGCAACTCAGTGGGTTTTTGCAAACAAACACAAGTGATTTTTGTTGATGTGTCAACAAACTGTATGCTATACTGTAACAGCATCTACAAACATTTTACTATTAGCAGTAGTCGTCGTAGTAGAAGAAGCTGCCTCCGTATCAACGTCTTTCCACTCCTTTCCATCACTCTTTGATCACTTTGTAACCACGTGACCGCATTCATGTTTAACCCATGGGGACCCATGGGATACTCATCAAAGGGATGCCGTGCTACAGATGTTTTTTTTTGGTATTGTTTTTGTTTGAAGTGTATTGAACTTTGTCGGAATATTTGGGAATTTTCCAGAACGTTTTGGAACGTTCTTGAATGTATTGATGTTTTTTTCCCGAATGTTTTGAGAGGTTTCGGACAGTATTTTGGAATGACTTAGGTCAAATCAAACTTGGCTCAACAGTATCTCTGCGATCCCTGTTGATGAATACCCCTCTCAAGAAAGACACCTCTTTCCTCTTTCTTCGCGCCATAGGCTCTTGCCCGCGACTGGTGGCGTGCACCTAATTAAAATTCATCCATGGAAATCGGGCCCCATTGACGCGGTCTCATCGAAACTCCGCGTCAACTCGCTTACTGCCTGAAGAAATTCCTTCGGAATTTCTTGGCACGGGGCATCTCCGTGGCCTTTTTGGCCTTCCAGGATCACACGACAAATGGCTTTGCAAAAGTCAGCTGGGTACTGCTTGAGCTCAGAAGTGCGCCAACTGCCATCTTCATGCCGTCCAATGGCTGCATACTTCGGGAGTGCAGTTGTCCGCAGCGAGTGCAACAAAGCGTCATTGTCGGTCGCACCATTTGCAATCAGGAGGCTGGTGGGCTTGCAAGCCTTCCCACCGTAGTGCCCTTGCATAATGGTAACTTTCTGACAGTTGCAAAAGCGGCATAGATACCGAGTAATCTCAAGTCGCCAAATGCTTGGGCTATTCTGGTGAGTATCCCCATCAGCTGGGTGCTCCAGCACACCTGTTGCACCAAATAGCAGAGAAAGGAGCATCAACCGGAACGAAATGCCCAACAGCATACTACCAACTGTCACTTGTCTGTGTTCCTTGTACGTGAGGTTGTGCAAACCATATGGGAACCCTCGGCGTCTCACTGGGCGGGGTCCGCCCTGCACGTGGTTCTCACGTGCACGGGACCACGTTTCACAGGGTGGTCCCGCCACCCAAGCTCTCAGGATTCCAATGCGCAGTGCCTCAGTAAAAAAGTGGAATGTAGTGGGGTTGTTAAGGTCTCCCCATTCACGATCGAAAATGATGTCAATGGACAATGCCATCCATGCATGCTCTTCCATGACGTGTTGATGTCAAAAGGCCTTCGTGTGCCTGAAAAGAGATGCGCCATGACCTTAGGACGATAGGCCATGCGCGCTGGGACATCATATCGAATTTCATCTAATTGATCAGATTGTCGTTGGAAAAACACCATCGCTGTGTCTTCCTTGCGTGTGCAAGACTTGAGACCTGTCAGGAACCATTCACTGCTAGCCGAGGAAGTGAAAACACGAAAAACCATAAGATCGTGGAGTGTCGCATCTTCTTCTTCAGTCATACATCTTTGGCTCCATTCAGCAAAAAGGGCCAGGATCTCTTTGTGGTACAGACATGTGCTCAGGGTGGCCTGCCTCAAACGTTCCACAAGGGCGTCCGTCCCTCGATAACTCGAAAAAGCAGTCTGCCACTTCTCAAGCAATTCATCTTGCCACTGTTGGATCTGTGTCACAATGACTGCAATTGGCCCTTCAGGAATTCTGGGTCCTTCAGCTTGCATACAAGGGTCCGGCAGCTCTGGGCAACTGGCGTTCTCTGCGGCACTATTCACGCCAGGTTGGCGAGTCACAAAAGCTCCACGTGCAGTATAAAAGGCCAAACAATCATGACCTCGGTTGACGTGATTGAGAAGCCTAGTATGCCGTGAAAACACTTTTAAACATGCTTCACATGTGGTGCCTGTTACGAAGTCTCGTGCTGGGGTAGCACGGTCGTGCTTTTCAAAGGCATGTACTGCGCGTGCAGCTGCTCCTGAGAAGGTTCGACGACAGGCCAAACAGTAGTGGTCTTCAGCAGTAGAAACTTCTTCCTGGCCAGTGATCAGGCCAGCTTGCAGGATGTCCTGATAGATCACGCTGTGCCATCCATGCCATTCAAATCTTCTCAAGGCAAAAGCTTTGCTTCTCGCAATGGCTTTGCGGATTGCTGCTTTCCATCGCTTTCCTGCAGTTTGCAGGCATTCACAGAAATCGGACCATTCTGATCTGAAATCAGGAAGTTCGAACTCTGGGCAATACATCTGCATCCATGCCAGATCGTCTTCAACCAGTGTCCACCAACTATGTTCCGTGTTGATGAGGGACCACGTATGGTCTTCACCATGCTGGATCAGGTGGCACAGGTATCGCAATCTTGCAACCCGCAAAGTCTCACATGCTGGCAGAAGCTGGAAATCGTGGATAATGCGGTCGAGAGGCCATTCAATTGCTTTTTTCCCATAGTGCATCACAGCCAAGCGCTTGAACAAGCGTGCAAACCCTGCATCGAGTTGCTGCATTTGTCTTTTGGTTGGCGGTTGCCATATAGCACAATTAAAAACAATGGTTGACAACACCAGCGACTCGAAGAACTGGCGTTTCCTCTCGACTGTCATAGCCCGGTTACAGAAAATCTGTGAGCGGTACTGTGTCATAATGTTGTGCGCAGCAGCAAATTTGGTTCGGAGCTCTTTTCGCATCCCACATTTGACTTCAAGCCAGGAACCCAGGTGTTTATATGTGCCCACAACACGGAGTGGTCCCTCCACGTAGCTTGATGTGGTAGGGATCGCATAGTCCTTGTGAGCTATCGCCTTGCGTTGCACCGTGGATCCACTTCCTCTACAGTCAAGGATGATCTCTGACTTGCCCTTTGATAGATTCGGCATGAGGCCAGCCACTGCTAGCCGGTCAAAAACCAGCCCCGCAATACGGCCAGCCATTGTCACCAGGGACTCAGCCGTCGCAGCACTGAACGATATTGCAACATCGTCCGCCCAGATCGGTGCAAGTAGACCCATCCGTTCAGACTTGCTTTCATGTACATAGGGGCTAGTTTCCGAGAGCAGCTCAACCGTCACCTCTGGGTAATCCGTCTCAATGGCAGTGAAGACAGGTCGAAGGATTCTGTTGAGCGCAAAGCCAAAGGTCAAATCAGCGAACGTATCGCCAGGGCGTGAGCCTCGTCGACTCTGAGTCAATGTTGTTGAACCATTGACTCTGAACCATGTGGCTTCATAAAATGACTGGAACATCGCTTTGACAAAGGCTGGTGCGTCGGAGTTCTGGATCGCAGGACCTGGGTTCATCATCTCTTCAAACTCATCATACGCCGCTGGCGGCAGTCCAAGACTTTGGAATAACTCTGGAACCGTCCTAGTGTCAAGTTCTGCAGCTACCATGTGTCATCGGAGGAGGCGGTAGAATGCATTACTGACATCGATGAAAAGTATTCCAGAACTTCGTGCTCGTTTTGCCGCAATCTGATGATATAATCGGATGACATGGGCAGCTTGGGTTATAGAGAAACCTGGAATTCCCCCAATCTGCATTGGGAGCCTCACGGTCTTGAACTCCTGGACAAGTTCTTTCCGAAAAACGCCATGCAAAGCCTTGCTGATTGGGGAGCTCACAAAAAGGCTTCGATAGTTCCAGCAATCCGCAACTCTACCCTTTTTGTGAACAGGTACAAGGGTGCCACCCTTATATATCATCGCTTCACGCATGAACATCACCTGTTTCAACAATAGTGGGTAAAAAAGTTTTGCAGCAGCAACTGGCGCTCGGTGTAGAAAATCGCCAGGCACCCCGTCTTCGAAGAATGCCTTGGCAACCTTTGTGGAGCGAAATTGATGTTCAATCTGCCAAAAACTGGGTAGATCATCCCACTCTGGTCTCAGCTTCGGGATTCGTGCCAGAGAATCACATAATGCCATAAGCTGAGTTGGTGTCTGATCAATCCCATCTTCCTGCTGAGCAAAGAATGTTCTCCATCGCTCTGCGAGCTTGTCGGTCTCGAAGATTGGTTCACCCAATTCATCTTCGACAATAGGCAACGGCTGGAAGGGGCCTGGTTTCTTCCTACTCCTCACTCCAGAGTTGCGCATAGCCTGGTAGAAGTCACTTTGCGACATCTGCGGTGCATCTTTTGCGATCTTCTCCAACCAGGCGGTCCTATCAGCTCGCAGGGCCCGTTTGAAGTCTTTTGCCTCTTGGTGGCTCTTTGCCTGCAACGATGTGGCCTTTGCCAGAAGCCGGATACCTTCCATGAAAAGCTGTGAAGGGAGCAAGACCTCCTTGTAGCACCACACATGCAGTACTTGACGGACTGTCAGGGCGGCAATACACTCACGTACTTGCTGCAGTGTTGACCTGGTTTGCATGCGTGCAGTACGCAGTGTCCACGTTTCATCACTGATATAACTTTTCCTGGGCCCACGTTTACCGGCTGGGAAGGCTTTGGCCAGGCTTTGGGCCACTTGCTCAGAGAGCGTCGTGGCATGTTTTTCAATGTCCTCCTCCCAAGAATGACCTGGAATGTCCCGTAAGGCCTCATCAATTTCAGCAGCAGTAGCTTTTTGCAAAGACCTCCGGTCAAAGCTGCATCTTGGTCTTTTGTAGACGCAGCGAATCTTGGGCAATAGTATCTTCATCATCAGAGGTCGGTGATCCGTAGCTCGTAGTCCTGTTTCAAGGGAGTCAATGACCCATGTCTCAACTTTCACCGGTTGGGGCTCCCGCGGAATCATGAGATAGTCGCATCTTGCCTGAGCCCCATTAGCGTGGCTGATCCAGGTCCATGATTCCCCTTGATGTACTCCCTCAAATGTACTCGGAAGATAGCAATCAATTCGAGCAAGTAGTCGAAGGAAGCATCTTCCGGCCAGATTCTGGGACTCCTCCACTCC